CCTTCACAAGCCCCGGAAGAGGTCGAACATGTTGTAAGGTCCGGCCGAGGTGGCGCCAAAAGTTGTACGAAATACTTATGAATCGCACGACTGGATGGATAAAGCATTTACCAAGTAGACTCAGTGGTACTGTAATGGAGAACACCAAAAGCAAGTGAAGCAACACCAAGACAAAACTGTCATAAACCACCTTCGGCACTCACAACCTTGGGAGATTTAAAGGACTCGTGCAGGGCTAAGAATGCCCGAATACAGTTACCGTACCTCATTCTGCCTCTTCTCCTCCCCTTTTTGTTATGCAAAAATCCTTACAATAATTATAGTTTGGCACAATCAGCCCTTCCAGAGTTGAAAGCTTTCTCTTTTGCGCTTTGAATACCTCCCAAAAAACGCTGAACTGTACAGCCTTGTCCACTGCGGACGCTGGGGTGTGTCAGGCAGGGGTGGATGTAGCGCGGCACCAGTCCGTGTTCAATTGTGGCGCTTACCAGCTTCCACAACTGGTTGGAGACGAGCTAGCGGCGCGCCAAACCCATCCTTCCTTGCCCCACCCTTCCGATAAAATCCAGGTGGAAAAGGGGTATTAAGTGCTTTATTTATAATGTCCTGACCTTTGCATCAAAAGATCTTTTTCTTCTCGGGTCCATGGTATTATTTATCATAAATTATCATTTTACTCACCCTTACATAGAAAATGGACCGGTTAATGAAAACTGGTGAGTGAATCAGCTCTGAAAGTTCCAGAAACTTTGAGTAGTTTTCAGACCACATTTGGATAACTGGATCTGAGAATTTAAGCTACTCTTATATTCTCAGATCAGTTGTCTTTAGTTAATCTCATGTTTGGATATTCTCGCTGAGATGATCAAAGATTTTTGAAATCAAGAATTCCGAAAGTAGTGAAATTTGTCCAAAAAAGGTATATGCTTTTCAGAACATCCTGGAGTAGCTTTCTAAAGAAAAGAGTTCCCCAGAAATTTCTTAAGGAGTCCAAATGTGGTCTCTCAGAGGTGCTGCTCGACAAATTTACGTTGCCATAACTAGCCACGATTCTCTAATTAATTAGACCCTGGTTCGAGCGCCGCGCACGTGAGGCCACTTGCAACCGTTGTCGTAGCAATGTGGATTTTCCGGCACGCGGTCAAGTGTTCATTGGGCTCACCCATCGACAGCCGAGAATTGGGAAATGTCTATGTTCTTATGTTTTTTTATAATTCTAGACGCTATCAGTCTATTGTGTATATAATTGTTAGAGAAAACTCACCCTGGTGGAATTGTATGTGTCAATCATCTTTCGAAGTTTGTTGCCGAAGTCGGGGTGTACCTGCAAGTTCATTTCACTTAGCAACGACTGGAAAATATGAATCTCTTGTGAACCTTGATAGGCAACGCTTGAGTCGTCCTTAATAAAAAGTCCTGCACATAGTGCAGAAGACAAAGATAGGATGGTTCATAGCATGACTCTACGGTGCTGGCGGGAAGAGGGTGGAGGGCATGAGCGGACTATAACGAACGCTCGCGCGAACGCTCCCCCAAACTTGACTTGAAGACCATCCCGCGAATCGCATCAACAACGGAGCGTATGATTTCCTCTTGTTACAATAGATAGGGTCCGCCAAATTTTAGATGATAGCGCACCTCTCTCAAAAATGCCGTTGGTAGAATCTCGCCATCTTCATAGCCCCAGCTATTCCCAACTTCAAGACATCCCTTTCATTGCTTCTGCGACTGAGAGTTCTCTCCGCCGAGAGTTGTCTATCATCGCGGTGCCAAGTTTCTGCGTCTCCTCTGACACTTACCGCGTGCTCACCCAGTGCGCAGAAATGAACTGAGCCTCATTTATGGCGTTTTTAACAGGTTATTTTCCGCGAGGCTGGAAGCTTTTATATGTCCTGAAGCTGTTCTAGTTTTGATATTGCTGTTTAACGCCGCAGTGCGCGCTCCGAAAGTTATCACAAGAATGCTGAGATATTGGCAAAAGTCGGACCCGGGACGGGACTCGAACCCGCATCTTTCGCTTACCGGGCGGCTGCGTTGACTAAAAACAGTATCTACACGTTGTTTTTGTTGTACTGATAGATAAGGAAACCCTTACATTTGCGAAGTTTTGAATTGCACGTTCCTGTATGTACGGCTTGCAGTCTTTCATCGTGCCGAAAATGTTCTCTACAAGCCGATTTCGTGCTCCTTCGTCTAGTACCTGACAAGAATAATGATCAGACATCAGAGCGTGCTTTTTTTTGTAATATTGACTAGTTTACCTTCTCCCAAGAACTGTCGTGGTTGCTCAAAGTTGTCCTCTTCGATGGATTCGTGACGAGCCACGTCTCCTGATATGCCCCATCCGCTTTCCTCTGTTCTGTCAGATTCCTTTCCACCATTGAAGCTATTCGGGAAGTAATTTGGAGCGTTGCCTGGAATAAAATTAGATCGATATGGGTGATTTATTTCAGAAGAAGCGTTAGACATTTTGGAAACACCCATGGAAAGTTAGCGCTGATCGAAGAATCAAGGGATGGGGTAGAACAGGGTAATATAACCCCCTATCCTTGAATGATTCTCTTCTCCATTCGAAGCGGATTTCATGACAGGGGCACTAGTCAGTGCTACAGGGCACCATCATGGTAAGGGGACGAGGAACGTCTGATAATCCCGTCAGCGCAAAAGCTTCGTAGAGCATTCAGATCGCGATAAGAGAAATTTTTCTCCGTAATGACCTCAAAATCCACCTCCCTTTCTCTGCCTCGAACTTCCGGTTCATACCCCGAGACACTATAGAGTATGAATGTTCACCGATGAGAGGATTAAGTAAAGGAAAGGTCCAAAAGAAAACTACATTTTTCCTTCAAAATTTCCATACACGTTCCCATGAGTGCCGATCCCTTTCAGCGGCTCGTATATAGCCTTCTTTTTAACAGAGAAATACGACCCTACGAAGAGGGAAGATTTCCAAATATGGATTGCCCTCTAGAAGAGTCCCTGATCAAAGAACAGAAGCTTGACAGTGTGAGTGCTTTGTAAAATCTGCCGAATTAAAGCATCAAACTCACCCTGATTATCGTAGCAAGCAGCACCGTCCCTCTGGGTGTTATAGGCTCGAGACCTGTACGGACAGTTGATGGGCAATTGGATATAGTTCGGTCCCAAACGATGGAAATGTGTATCGGTGTAGGAGAAAAGTCGACCCTGGAGCATCTTGTCTGGGGAGAATTACTCGGAACAAATGGCTGGACAGAAGGCTGCCTGCTCTACCTGCAAGTAGCAGTTCATGAGGTCCTACTCTTTAAAAAGTAAACTGCTTTGTTTACTAGTTATGAACTTCTCGAGCAGGTCACAATTGGTTGTTGCGAAAACTGTTCGAAAAAAAGAATAAAAAAAATTGACTCACCTCAGCGAAATAATTTCTAGGATTCCTGTTAAGTGTCATTGTGCCGACCGGAATCAGTGGGAATTCGCCATGTGGCCAAACTTTAGTGACGTCGAATGGATTCATTGGCCAATTCTGTGCTTGCTCGAATGTCATCACCTGAACTCAATCTTTTTGGGAGATTCCGAGTTTTGGAAAAGAGCAACAGACCTGAATGTGGAGGTTCCACTGAGGAAAATCTCCTTTTTCGATTGCGTTGTACAGATCGCGAATAGCATAATCAGGATCTTCACCAGCAAGACGAGCAGCGTCGGCAGCAGAGAGATTCCTAATCTCTTTCGCCTACAATGAAGCTACTCCTATTTTTCCTTGAATTTAAGGAGTTTCCTACTGAACATTTTTCCAAGGGCATATTTCGCGTCATCGAACGGTTGGAGACAAATAACATCTCATCTCAAGGGGGACGAGAGCACCGCTGAAGAAGGCAGAATGGCTCTCCGCAGTATAGTTCACTGCCGATAGTGGGGCGTGTCAGTGCGGATGCGTTTGGCGCGGTACCATACCGTTTTCCACCAGCTGTTGAACGAGCAAGCGACAACATACGCTGGAAAACTACTGATACGAACGATATGATACAGTCTTGTCGTTTCATCACTCCAAAAGATATTGGAAAACGTTTTGGCATCGCGCCAAAAGACTGACACGCCCCATCATGCCACGAACGAATTGGAAGACAACCTCTACGACAGATACGGCCTTTCACCTTCTAGCCAGGGGCTGTACGGTCAAAAATGAGCTGTAGTAAAAATACCTCTTATTCGAAGCGAGTTCATTCGAAGGATCAAATCCCGCCTGGTTAATTCGTTTATGCAGCCGGTTAGTTGGATAATGGGAGCGTCGGGGCACTTTCCCACGTACACTGGTCAAGCTTTGAGAGCCGCTATTTGGGATGCAATGCAGTAGAATGAGTTTGGTTAAATGTGGAATGCACGGCACATCCGAGAAAACGCCTGCTCTGAACGGGAAGAGAGTGTCAAAACGAACCCTGAAGTGGAATTTACAATAAACCGGATTTCCTTCCGCATTGACGAGTTTGAAGGTATTGGAGCCATAGCCGTGCATAAAGCGGAAGCCATCGGGAGTTCCTCGATCTGACATCAAGAACATCACCTGAACGGATGGATGATTAACTTTGAAAAAAAATCAGAAAGAAAGGCAGAAATCGTCAGAAACCTCCCATACACACCTGATGTGTGGATTCAGGTCGAAGACTCCAAAAGTCCCACAACATGTCCATATCTCTGAGATGAGTCTGTGGATTTCTCTTCAAGACATGGATAAATTCCGGGAATTGGAGTGGATCACGAATAAAGAAAATTGGTGTATTGTTGCCGACCTGGAAGAGTAGTAATTGGCTAAGATCTGATTATGTAACACCACGCTGACATAGCACAGGTACACTCCATACCGCCACGTTGGGAGGGCGTGGCTGCGGACCCCGTTTAAACATGGCTAGGATACTTTGTTCGTGCAAGATTTCCGTTTGAGACAACTATCACCCTGTTTGTGCTAAACAAAGGCATGATTGTAATTATTTCGAAGCAAAAATATCCCGAAATCTGTCAAAGTTCGAATGAAGAGCGTTGCCACGCCCTCTCCATCTCCGCGATATGGGGCGTACGCAATCTAGTACGCAGACTGTTAAGGGACAGATGACGACTCCTAACATAACAGACCTATGTTACACCTGCTTCGGATCTATTTATGTAAAAATAAATTACCAAGTCCCAGTTTCCCTCCTCAGTGTAGAATTTCACAGCAAAACCGCGTGGATCGCGAGCAGTGTCCGCTGATCCCGACTCTCCGCCTGCAACGAAAATGTATAGTCATGATCCCTGCAAATGATAGGGCATATGACGGGGGTATGGCTTGGAGCACAACATATCAGGATTCCCATCAGCTGTATCGGACTCAGGATGGCATTGCTGGGGGAAAAAGGGCGACCTGGCTGCTCTGCAATTCGCGCCGCGCCACACGCCCTTTCGTTTGCAGCGATCATGACTGTATGTATAGTTGATAAGGTCGCAATCAGCACAATCAGTTGGATCGGTGACAGACGGGAAAGAGTGAGCTTGCATCCAGCTGCCCTGCTCTATCAATGGTGATTGATTCGTGATCGATTGAGGATAAAACCAGCCAGTTGTTGAAATGATGCAGGTGGGCTCGTTCCACCACAGGTTCCATCGGAGTTGATGTGGTGGACAAAGCCGCAGCTCGCCGCACTGATGGTGAGATTGGGTATCCCCTCAAAAAACCAAGCCCTTCGCCCCCTGGGTCAGCTGCTTTCACCGGCCTTTTCTAGAAAGATTATCCAAAGCGGGGGGAAGCGGGGGGAAGGGGGTAGGAATCATTTTCTAAAGGGAATACCCAATTTCACCAGCAGCAGTGCGGCCAGCTGCAGCTTTGCCCACCGCGTCAATTCAGATGGAACCTGTTATGAATTCAGACCCCTGGAATATGCTACTCAACTTTGTTGCTCTCTGTTCATCGTTTTTGTTGTAGCGTTTGATTACGTTCGGCTGCTACGTGGTTTCAGCGAGTTCCCGTGTTCCTTGTGGTATGATAAGACTAGAGTTTTCTCACGGCTGCATTGTAGTTATCGGCAAAACCGGTTACTACAATTCAGCACCGAGAAAAGTCATGCTTTTGTAGTCATTCAGAAGTTCAAGTTTGTCAGTCACCTTTGTCAGTCAGTGTCAATGATGACAATAGAACAAAATCATGAATTTGATGTTGACTTTCTCGATTCTAGTACTCCTCAAAGTTTGTAGCACCTTTTCGTACTCTGACGTTTATTTTTCCTGGCAAGGTGGAGTTACATATGGAGACCTTGAGAAATCCCTTTCATGGGGTTCCATTTCATAGGTAGGAAGGTTATTGACAGGCGTCTTTGTACATGTGAAAAAGTGATTTTTTTTAGAACGATTTCGAGCTTCAGGGAGCTTAATTCAGAGATACATTAGTTTCCCCAGTTCTGCATCAGCATGTATATGCTCCGAGGCCTCCCCTCTTCCTCTTGGACGACGGACTCTGGAATTTCAGGGATTCGGAGGCAAAGGCGCAAAGCGGGCGGGGGAGTGACGGCATGTTATGGCTTGTGAAGGATTTCGAACTCGGAAAAGACAGCGACTTTTGGGTCGGAGTAGTTGGTGGAATGGAAGTCCGTCGCTGGACCTTACCTAGACAAGTAGACCAGCGGTGACTTACCAAGGGAAGAGATCTCAGAGGGCCTACAAGAGCTTTCCCACTGCGGCATGCTATAACGGTATCCGGCTTCACAAAACCGTTTCTTATGGGGTGCAAGCCGGTTGGAGCCACGTATGCTGTAATGCAGCTGCAGTCTCTAGAGCTAAGTAATGGAAGAGAGCCTCGTGAGTCCCCTACCTCGTCCACATCGGCCTTTCGCGAAAAGTCCCTATGAAAAGGATTGACAACGGCCATTCGGTGTCAGGTCAGGGCAGAAAACAGCGAGCTACGCTAGCAGGGGATTGCAGTGGCTCTCCCACGATGGTGTCCTCTCAGCTTCAGCTTCAATCAGCAAAGAAGATATGGCTCGGATCTAGCACTGAAAGTTTGGCCTCCATTTCCAATCACTCTTAAAGCCATATCTTCGATGAGTGGAGCAGCTATGTTGAATCTGCCACTCTGTCCCAGCAAGTGCACTATTTCACACCCCCTCACAATTTATACTCTGTACTTTATAGGCCAAGTGGGGATGCGGAAATAACTTTCAGAGTTCTGCATGTTTCAGAGGCGATGCAATTTTAGCGCTTCTATTGTGCTAAAAGATCCTGCGCTGCTCCCCACCCCCTTCAGGTTTTTCGGCCTTCCGAAATCCTTCTTTCTTTTGTTGGCTTCTCATGTGCTTCTCTAAACTGGGGAGCAGTTCTTGTGATATACTGTATCCCGGACAAATGTTTGTGTTGGCGCAGTGTCAAAACATAAACTTCGTACGATTTCTTCTGAAAACTCACCGACTGTTGAAAAGCGAACGAAACATGGTGTTTTCTTGCCGATCTCACTGAATATGTCTGCTTTGCAATACTTTGTGATATCGTGAGTCACTTCGAATATTCCATGTGCCCCTAAAATGAAATAGTTCGCAAATGAACAAGGAAGAAATAAATCTGCTTCAGTGAAGGGAATAAATTACAGAAGGTCCCACTTAAGCCTACTGAATCTTGCTAAGTCATACAATTCCCTTCTTGGCTCCTTTTCCTCACGCCCTCCTTTGGAATAGGTGGATAAGATTGCTCGCAACATGCTTGGCGCGCCTTCAGTTTTTTTGATTGGAAGTCGAATTCCTGTGTGGAATGGGGATAGTGAGATAATTCTAAGATATAATCACTACAAATTTATCCCGGACGTAATTCAGGAAACCGGAAGCGCAAATCGCGCACGAACCCGCACAGCTAGCTTATTGGCTCGACGCAGCACTCTGGCCTTCAACGCCGTGCGCTTGATGGCTAAGGGTGGGCGGTTGCTGCTAACATCATGGGTCGGAAGGCTGAGTATGGTGTGCCCGGACATCCTTTCGCAGCATACCACCAACAAAGTTAGCCCCCTCCCAGCCATGGGCCATGGTGTCCACGACGTTTGAGAGCACTGGTAGCCCGCGCCTTTCCTCATTGACTTCACGGCCCTGAAATTGACAGTGGATGACTTGCATTTTCCTTCCATTTGACACCCATGCGCCATGGCCTGGTAATGCGCTACTGCGCCCTGAATATCGTGAACTGAACCCGATTCCTGAGCGCAGGTAATCTACTCGTCAGAGGCGTCTTACACTCGTTTCACCTGCCCGAATCTGAGATAAGCTGAGTAGACAACACTTCAGATGCTTGCGGGTGGATCAGATGCTTGCGGCGAGTCGCTTCCGATACCACCATTTGAAAGGAGCAACTTGTTCTGGTTCCAGGTCACCACTCTTTGAGGGATATAAAGCGAGCTAGCTGCCTTCAAGGCAAGCCACGCACCAGAAATGATGGGTTGTAGAGCTCAATTACTGAAGAAAAGGTGGCAGTCAAGTCATTAGTGAAGAAAAAAAAGTCTTAGGAATGCTTCCGATAGTGTTCTCCGTCGATCGTGTCTGCGCGAGCATTGGGCCGCGTTTTTATTTTGCGACGTGATCAGCGATTTGGGAGACTTGGTTATTTGGGAACTC